CCAAAAATCCAGAAGTAGTAAAAACAAAATAACCTTTATTCAATGTGTTTCAAGTACTACTAGAACTGTGTGAAGTTTAGTTGTGGTGCGACCAAGCTATCAAAAGTTACAGGCATATGTATGAAATACTAATCATAGTATGCCATAGGCTGCCTTAACCCAACCGAGTATCTCTTATTTTTCTGTACAGATAAGAGGCAAGGGTCTTGACTACCCACTGATTGCCAAAGACTTTAACCTGATCAAGTGGGTTGGTGCCAACTCTTTCCGAACCAGCCACTATCCATATGCAGAAGAGATCATGGACATGTGTGACCAGCAGGGCATCGTGGTCATAGATGAATGCCCTGCCGTGGGACTCAAGACAAGGTCAATTTCTTAGTCTAAGATCAGAACAGTTGATTGGTCACATCAGTACTTAGTGTAATTGAAGCAAGTAACGTGGCCTGTCCTTGGTGCTGATTGGTTCATTGGCACTCACTTCAAATGAAGTAACCTGGTCTGTCCTTGGTGCTGATTGGTTCATTGCCACTCATCAAATATAAAGTATCATGGTCTGTCCTTGGTGCTGATTGGTAACATTTCCAGTCATTGGAAGTAACATGGTCTCTCCTTGGTGATGACCTACTAATGATGGATCATGAATAACTTATGAATGTAATTTTTTGTCTTTTCAGGGAGAACTTCAGCAACCAGACCCTGTCACACCACAAGGACGTGATGACAGAGCTTGTCAGAAGGGACAAGAACCGCCCCTCTGTGGTCATGTGGTCGGTAGCCAATGAACCGGCTTCCCAGCTTCCAGAGGCAGAGTACTACTTCAAGTAAGTGATGACAATGGAGAAGGTGTCTTGAATTTGCACTTTTTTTCACTGAAATTATAGTGTAAGATTCTAACTGCTTTTTCTATTGGTAAGTGTAGAAATCTTTTAGAACCTGAAACAGTTTTGATGAAATTTCTTAAGCAAACTATTGCAAATTATGCATCTATTACATGTTTGCCTCACCATGCACAAATTTACAGAAAGTTTACAGAAATACATAACAGTTGACTGTAGTACTTAGACTTTATAACATTGATTTCCCCATGTCGTAGGACTGTGATTCAACACACCAAACAGGCAGACAGTACCAGGCCAGTCACTCTTGTCATAAACAAGGCTTTTAATAAAGACAAAGGGGTAAGATTGTAAAAGCTAACTGCAAACAGCCTCTCACTGCTCTCTTAATCAGCAATGGTCACTGCCTTTTTGGTGGACTTACACTAATTCTGCTGCTTCCAACTGCTCTTTGGCAGACTTTGCTACCTATTGGTGACATGACTCCATGATTTCAACTGTAACATATGGCAACACCATCCCTTATAATTCTGCTGGCTTCAAATCCTTTGTTGAACTAAATGTCTACTCTTGGCTATCTAAAACTGTCAGCTGAAAATGTGCTCAATCATAATGGTAGGTGATTTTGATGATTCTATGATGAAAATTGTTGCATTGTACAGCTACCAATATTTGATCTGGCTTGTAAAATTAGGAACTAAGACATCCTGTTTGTTTGTTTGTTTCTTTCTTTCTTTCTTTCTTTGTTTGCGCAGTTAAGTCATAGTCTTTTGAGCCCGACTGACAGTGTAGTAGTAGTAGTAGTAGTAGTAGTAGTGGTGGTAGTAATACCAGTATACACTCACTATGCATGTTAAGTACACAAGTAGAGGTTCTCATAGTATCTGTACCCATCTCCAGGGCCAGTTTGCTGACGTTGTGTGCCTGAATAACTACTACTCCTGGTACCATGACATGGGTCATCTGGAGGTTATCCAGTACCAGGCTAAGTACAACCTGGAACAGTGGTACCAGACACACCACAAACCCATCATACAGACTGAGTATGGGGCTGACGCTATAGCTGGACTACACATGGTATGGAACACACAGTCAATGAAAGTCAAGAATCTTCAAAATAGCTTTAAGTAGTTTACAGACAAAATGCACGGAAGATGAATTGTGAGAGTATGGCATCTGCATGAGTATGAATACTTTCCATATGAAGGAAGAGTTCATTTCTTTCCAACACAAAAGATTGGATCAACTCAGATGAACTTTCATGCTAATGTAAGAGTACTGTCCAGTTTGAGTCTGGTAGACCTGAGCTTGAACTTGGTACTATATATACAGTATCTATATTCTATTTCTATCAACGTTTGCCACCAACTTAAGATATTTTACCATTTTCACATTTTCACATACTGTAAATTGTGAACTTTTCATGTTTCAACTTTGAAGTTCAAAATTCAGACTCACCTTCCCCCCTACTGCAATCTAAGCATTTAACTTTACAATCTCTCCCCAAAAGGACCCACCCCTGATGTTCAGTGAGGAGTACCAACAGGAAGTCATGTTCAACTACTTCAGCGTGTTTGACCAGTTCAGACAGCAGTACCTGGTGGGGGAGATGATCTGGAACTTTGCAGACTTCATGACTGCACAGAGTAAGTGGAATGAATTATCACTGTTACAGAAATGTACATGCATATGACCATTCTGAAGCTTCCTAAGGCCACAGTAATTTATTTCCTCGGTTCTCTTACAATTTGAGGTGAAAATAGAGAAAGAGAACATCATGAAAGCAGAGGCTGGGGGTGGGTGAACATCAATCTGGCTATGTGATCAATAATGATCACCAGAACATGTCTCCATATTGTTTTTCCAGTTTGGCATATCTTAAATTCATGTGAAAATCTTTTTGTTTTCTAGTTTGGTTTAATGTCATTAGTGTCATAAAATTCATGACTTAGTGTATGATTTTCAGTTAGATACTACACTTATTGCTGCAATCTTTGAGAAACTACAGTTGTCAACCCAGGAGCTAGAGTTTGCTTGCAAAAAATGGGGGCTGAAAGTTAACGCGGCTAAGTGCAAAGTCATTTCCCCTGAGTTAGACGAGGATGTAAGCATAGAGGGTTCCACGGTTGAAAAAGTTCAAGATTTTGTATTTTTAGGAAGTGTTATTCCTGGTACAACAAGCGATGTCAAGAGGCGAGTTGCCCTTGCTGCTTCTGCCTTTGGCAGACTCAGGAAAACAGTGTGGAATAGGTCTGATGTCAGTAGGCACCTCAAAACCCGTCTGTTACATGCCCTCATTTTCCCAATAGCAACTTATGCTTGTGAGACATGGACATTGAAAAAAAGTGATGAACAACTCCTATTGGCTTTTGAAATGAGATGCCTGCGGGCTATCCTGAATGTCTCATGGAGAGACCACATCAGAAATGAGGAAATCCGAGCCATGCTGGGAATGGAAAATACCATAATCGACGATATTCGTAAAAGAAGGCTGAGGTGGTTTGGTCACGTTCAGAGGAGACCCCCAGACTCTTTGGTGTATGGGGCCTACCATCAGGATTTCACAAACCCCAGACCTAGAGGTAGACCCCCTAAAAGATGGCGGGACCAGATAGTACAGGACACGGGGTGGTCCCTCAAGTACGCTGAACGAAAGGCTAAGGACCGTGATGCCTGGCGGGAAAAAATGAAGAGGAGCAAGGGGCCAGTCCTGGCCTAAGCATTTAGGCAGGCAGGTAGGCATATACAAGACCTTAAGTTCAGGAAACTTCAAGTTTCAGTAGTGTCTTCTGATGCATACATGCTTTCTCATTCTGCAGCTACAACCAGAGTCGCTGGGAACAAGAAAGGTATATTTACCCGCCAGAGACAACCCAAGACGGCAGCCTTTCTGCTGAAGGAGCGTTACTGGAAGTTGGTCAATCAGACTGGACCAGGGAACCACTGAATGAACACCAAGTCAACCTTTTCACAATGTCTTTCTCCCAAGCCATAGCGCAAGACACATGTGAATTTGAGTATCCCTCTTCATCTGAAAAAACTTTATGTATCTATTAGACTAACAACTTGGTTTGGAAAGAATCTATGGGAATTTTCTCTTAGGCCATCACACATAGCTGACTATGGCCTTCTCACAACCATGGTTGGGAGTTAGGCATAAGTAGCTTCTTTAGCAGTCTCTATGAGGAAGGCTTAGTAGGATTATAGTGTTTTTATGGTGTATGATTTCTATTTGTATTCAGTATTTTGACAATCAAATTTTTCTAAGGTGCAATCAGAGGAGCGAACTGGAGCTAGTATTAGCTTTCCAGTAGGGAGTCTTTGGAAAAAGGAGCTGCATACAAGTCATTTTGACTGAATAAAATATTTATTCATATTCTTCACATGTTGCAAGTTATACTTTTGCACAACTAACTATTTCAGTTTTTTTGTTGCTCTGAACTTTCAATAATTTCCCTTTAATGTGCCTTTGGAGGATACCAAACAATACACCACATTTATGGCATCTGTATTCCACAAAATGATAGTAGTAAAAATCATCATGTAACATATGTTTATCGAAAAAGCTAAAGATTCATAGGATTATACAGTGACCATTTTTTCAAATCAATTTGGAAAACCTAGGCAGCTACACATATATTGTAATCATCCAAGCTTCTGCATTAATTTTTAAACAAATGATAAATTCAAGGAAAACATGCACTATAACAGTAATCAACATCACCTGAGCCAAAGTACTGGTGTAGAGATATCATTTTCCTTGTTACATTATATAAAGCATTTATTTTCTACAATATATTGATCAATGACTGGCTGACAGTTCCACTGTGGACAGTATTCTCCACCTCCTGATATGTGTAACAAGTTATGACAGAAAGCACCACAATATGCTTTTACATGCGTATCTGTTTTCCATTAACGATTTTTGCGGTGACAGTATTAAGCTAAGTATGCATGGTGCAATTGATAAATTTCTAATATGTACATTTGTTTATACTTTGATAATGTTGATAAATACATTTGTAATAGATTGCAAATGTCTAATAAATTGTCAAAATACAACATTTGTAAGAGATGCCTTATTTACATGTACATGATCAAATGAAAAGATGAAATTAAACAGTATCAAATTTCAAGCAGTACTTTGTGATGGCTTCATGTTTTCCATTTTTTTATAGTATATAGTTACGGGTACCTTCACAATTTTTCTACAACAGTATGGTTATGATACTCACACTTTTTGCAATTGAAGAATTAATCTAATGCAGCAGGTAAAATACTGTGTTGTGAACATAATTATTATTCACTATAACTACTTTCCACCATTAACAAAATTCACAAAACAAGTCACCTGGCTAGTCTTCTAGTGTAGTCTTTGCATTGTTTCATTAACAAAATCTTATTTCCAGTTCTTAATGTCAGTGTACAATACTGTTATGTGATTATTTAACAGTTGAATGTCTGTTGAAGTCCTGCATTCCTGTGCAAGTTGCCACCACTTCAAGTACTAGTAGCAATCTGAAATGAAAACACAACCATAAAGTTTGTAAAGATGAGACCCAATAATCAAAGGACACCCTAAGTGGTAGACTTAGAATAATCTCCTTTTTGAGTTTCCATTCTTGTACTACAAATGATTTGTTACAAGACTCGTGTTAGTACATGTATATACTATGTTGTTTATCAAGCAAACATATACATGTACTATTACTACTATAGATTGTTAAATGTATAACTTACATTGTAATAGCCAAATAGGTCAGCAGAAGATAAGTGATACAGTACCTTATGACATCCTTTCAGAGTTGGAGAGGGGGAGGGGTGACCCCAGCACCATGGGTGAACCCAGCTCCAGCTCCTTCTGAAGGGCCTCCATGTCTTCTGGCTTCATGTCGTTAACTTCCAGCCAATCAGCAAGCAAGGATGCTGATAGGGGGGCGGAGTCACACTTCCCACTCCTGCACATCATGTGTGTGAGAAAAATGACATGTTTGTAGTACATTGTACATGTTTCATCATAATGGAGAATAGCAATTAGACAGCAATTTATCTGTCTATATTACAATATAGTAGATCCTATATTTTACCCCCACTTTAGTTTTTGTAGTAGAATTAACTTGCTTCTAATCTATAGTTAAAAAGGCTGCAAAGTGCTTTGACATGTATCAAAAAGTCGTTAAAAAAGACCTCCCTATGAAGTATAACGTTTCACAAAAAGATCTTGTTGAGACAGTTTTATCACAAATTTACACTTAGAAAAAGACAGTATCTATAAGTGTACAGTGTCCTCACAGAACACCAGGCAGGTAGTAAAAAATTTCAGGCGAAATATTACTTACCCACTATCCTTAGGCCCATTGAAGGATTCGTTGATCAGTTCGTCCAAGTCGCTCACCAGCCCAAGACCATAACCTGCCCCGCCCCCTTTTGGTGTGGAGGGCAGCAGCGGCGGTAAGATGTCCTCTACCTGTGACTTGGACAACTGGTGGACAAGAGATGCTATGTCTAAAGATGGATCCATGTTGGAGAAGGGGCCTCGGCTGTCCTTCTTTGCTGGACTTGTGTTTAGTGCTGTGGAACTGGGTCGAGACTTGCCTGGCTCAACTATGGTGGGGAGGGCAGCTGTCGGTTTCTCTGTGCTAGCAAGCCGGCGGTTTGAAACTGAAAGAGTTGTGGTAGATTGACAAGCTCCTGACATGGTTGAAGCTTGTCCAGCTGGCTGGGGTAAGACTTTAGAAGTGTTTGGACGTTCTACGAACACCTTGGCGTCCGGAGAGGTGTGAATGGTAGAGGGGATGCTGTCAAAGGTAACAACTTGCTCAAGAGGAGCCGGCTCAGGCTTGCAGCTAGTGTCGGTGCTCTTGGCTGGTGCATCTTGCAATGTCTGGGACCCTGCTATTGGCTGATTCATCACAACTGCTATTGGCTGTTCATTTGTCTCCATGGCAGCGGATTGTTGATCGCTTGCCATGGTAGACTGGAGTGGTTTAGTGGCAGGTAGCAGTGTACCTTGCCTTCCAAGTTGTGACTCTCCTATTTGGGGATTTAATCTTTGCCCAGACTGCTCCTGTGGCCATCCACTTGTGCTTGCGGAGGCGTTACTTGTCACCATGGAGGAGGAAATGTTAGCAAGGGAAGTAGCAAGTGTCGTTGGCTGGCTCAAAATCAACTGTGCATGAGACCCTGGGACAGAGATCAGGTGCACCCCTACACTAGACTGTGATGACACTGGTATGGTCACGATCCCCATGTTGGTGTTACTTGTAAACATCTGCACATTCGATCCTGACGAGGATGTTGGTATGGGATTTTGCACCAATTGGCCAACAGTCTGTCCCGAGCTTGATGGCTGAATCTGCACATGCTCCTGTCCTACACCTGCTATAGACAGCTGCATCTGATTTGTCATCACTGCAGTAGAGCTACTCTGCACAGACATGAAGTTACCCTGCAAGAGTGGTGCCTTCATTGCCAATTTACTGTCTTGCATCTGATTGGCTGAAGCAGATGCTCCTTGAATTTGATTGGCTGCCACAGAACTGCTGCTGCTGAGTAACCTCCCTGATTGGCCAGGAGTTCTACCAATGGGATTGCTGCCTGCTTGGTCACAGGTATTTGTTCTGGCAACTTCCTTCTTCAGTGCATTCAGCTCTATGATGTTGCCTTGAATTGTGTTTTGCTCTTTTGGCTTCTGTTGTCTCAGTTTGCTCCATCTGTCAAGCAGCTTTTTATCCTCATCACTTAGCTTGACCCCTTCTTGTGGGGCTTTATTCTTCAATTTTTCTGCCGTTCTAAACTCTTCATCTGCCTTTGTCTCCTCTTCTCTTCCCTTTCTCTTTGCCTGTCAATTGCTGTCACCTTCTTCTTTTCTTGATTTTCAGAGTTTTCTGGAAAACAATACATGTACTCTCTGTGAACTTCCTTATACAGCAAATAGCATTCAATCTTCAACTGCACCAATCACCATGTTACAAATTTTGAAATGACTCAGGTTAAGTGGTAACAAAAATGTTTTTTGAAAGAAAAATTTGGATAAGCAGCAAGTTGTTTTATACATATTTACCTCTAGTATACATCTCATATTATATGTAACATTAACCACATTGTCACATAATCACAGAAGCGAACTTACTGTCTTGTCCTTTTCTCAAGCTAGCCCGGAATGCTGAGTTCAAGATGGCTGCCTTGATGATAGCCTTGGTATCCATGGAAACACTCTTTTTGGGCTGTTCCACCTTCTCTGGGGCGGGGATGTCCTCCTTATCTACTTCTTTGCACCTGCATCAGATTGCTCCTCGGGAATGTCTTTGATTTCTGCTGAATCTTTTGCGCTGAGCATAACAACATCTGTTGAACTTGAGCTGGTTGTAGAGAGGGCAGAGTTAGAGGGCAGGACTTGTGGAATGTTGGGAGTAGGACGGTTGGGACTTACGTTCTGCTTGTTACTTGACAGAACCTCAAGCGGTTTCTTGAAGATGTCGGCGATGCATGTGTCTGTCACACTTCTTGTCATTGTCTTTTTCTTAGGAATGCAGCCACCTTGTGCCTGTGAATCAGTGCTCTCTGTCTTGAATGAAGAGCTTGAATTTGCTTGAAAGAGAGAACTGATTGACGACTCGGATGGTACTTTTGGCACAGGGCGAAGACAAGCATTCAAGGCTACCTTGCTGATTCTCAGTGTTGGAGACTTCTCGTATTCGTCAATTTCGCTTAGAATTGCCTGCCTGATTTGGTCTCTTGTCATTGTCTGTCTCTCAAAGTCGAAATCGAATGCAGGGATGCAGATTGGTTCGTCGTCAGGATCGTGGTACTTGGACAAGTACGAGTGAGAGAGAGCATCTTCAACTGAAATTCGCTCTTTGGGATTGAAGTTGAGCATCTTGGAGAGCAAACACAGTGCGTCTTTGCTCTTCTGTGGATACAGGACACTCCACGGGACCGGCCTTCGCTTGGGGATGTTAGACATGTAGTGTCGGACTCTTTCCGCAGTCACTGATTGGATGATGCTGTCTGGAGGCGTGCCCAAGACGGACATGATGAGATTCAGCTGGTTCAAGTAGTTCTTCCCTGGAAAAAGCTGCTTCCTACCCAACATCTCTGCAAAGATGCAGCCAACCGACCACACGTCTATTGCAAAGGTGTACTCATTCAGAGAAAGCATTAGCTCGGGGGCCCTGTACCACCTAGTAGCGACATACTCTGTCATGAATGCCTTGTAGTCACTAGGGCTTGACGACACCCCCCTTGCCATGCCAAAATCACCAATTTTCAGCTCGCAATTCTCGTTAACCAGGAGATTGCTTGGCTTCAAGTCTCTGTGCAGAACATTGGCAGAATGGATATACTTCAAGCCGCGAAGAATTTGGTACAGGAAGTACCGAATGTGTTCATCCGTCAAGTCTTGGTCAGAGTGAATAATGTGGTGCAAGTCACTTTCCATCAGGTCAAAGACAACGTAGACATCTTTTACGTCGTTTGTCTTCGCGTCGGCCGGGCGCAAAACCTCGTGGATCCCTATCACGTTGTCGTGCTTGAAATGTCGCAGTATCTTCAGCTCCCTGTACGTCCTCTTGGCCGTCATCAACACGTCGAAAGCGTTTGGTATTTTCTTGATGGCGACTTTCCTGCCGTTCTTCTTGTTGATTGCCGAGCAGACGACGCCGTATGCGCCGATGCCGATGTTCTCGACAGGGGAATACTTGCTGTCCACATTGAAGCTGATGTCCAGGCTTCGCTTCTTGAGGAAGCTTCGGTTCTTGGACTCCACTGTCTCCGAGCCCTGCATGGTTGCTCTGAATGGCAATGACCTAGATCAGGTCAACACATGTAACTTAAACCTGGCCTGAAAAAAATGTAATGTAATTTTAATGTTTGAACATGCATTCTCATCCGATCATAGTTTTACATCCGTAGAGGCAATTTGTTTTTTGATCAAGTAATCGTAATCAGTGACATAAGGTTTACAATATGTTTCACCAATTTTCGAACTCACCTTTTAAATTGACACTATTCACATTTTAAGTTATAAGAAAAAGACATTTCGTAACGGTTTGTATTGGCACATATTCCGATGTGTTGCTTGGATGATTTTCCCACTTCGAGAGCACTGCGATAAAAATGCACATATTTTGCCTTGCCACCCCCCTCCCCCATACATATAGACACACTGAAATATGACAGGTTACCTACCTAGAGACAGGTCCCAACAAGTCTGCTGAATTTCTACAACATCACGAGAAATTGGAAGTTTAATCGCACTTTTGCCTCCATCACGAAGACCTTATGTTTTTCCTTAATTAAAGAAAATAGCGATCTGAACCGCAGAGCCCTAGTAAACCGAAAAGTCCCCCCGACTTCGACTTCACTTCCGCGTTCAAATGAGAGCCGCCATTTTATATACCCCTACCTGGGCACCTAAAAATAGACACAACGTAGGGAATACGTCATCACTGACCAATCAGAGCACAGCTCTGACGTCTGTAGGATTTTACATTTCACCAGTCCCGGTTTGTATCATGGGTCCAACATTTTGGCGTAGTCTTATATGATTTCATTTGATGCTAAATTCATGTGTTTTCTACAAAATTGATGGTCGAATAAGAAGTTTTGGCTCAAAATTTGAGCCAAAATCTGTAGACTAGGGCGCTACCACTATTTGGAAGGGTATGAATTACAGCTCCTATAGCATAACTTATTGGTTCCATAACGTTCTATTTCATTTTATAGTTAAATTATCATAATTCATCGTGAATATGAAAAGTTATGCAGTCCCCAATGAGCATATCTGATACCTTATTGGTAATTTTTATTCAGTAAATAAATAGCTTATGTTACACCCCTATTCAGCAATGGGGTAAGCCATATTCAAAATGGCTGCCAGTTGTAACAAATAGACTTTTTTCTTGAAGTTGATAACTTTTTTTTGCAAACAATTCTTGTGTCACGATATTAGCGTAGGTTGGTGTCACGCAGTATGAATCTCATTGATGTCCTGGTATGATTAATCATTACAAGGTAAGAAAAGTTACCATATCTGTGTTCTATTGAGACGATATTTCCAGGGAAGCGTCTTTCTTCTTTGTTCTAGTTTCTTTGTCTTGGGTCTGGACCGGGTTTTTATCTTCAGCCACGTTAGATATGTGTGTTGTAAAACAATAACAACTGTTGCACAACTGTTGAACTTCAAGGACTATATAATGTAGACAAATGGAGACAAAGAAGTTTACAGTTCTTCAGGCAGGTATTTTAAATTTCCTGCCTAAAACTAGTAAAAGTAGTGAAACCAAATCGTACTTCTAATACTAATACTAGTATTTTTTTTACCTTACTTATAAGTATTAAACTTTGAAACATTAGTCCTTATTTTTCTGCAAACAAAAATTATTAGAACACTTTACTATCCCATTTTACCTGTCCTCCTCAATACTTAAGTACAATATACAATGTATATCATAAAGCTAAATAAAGTATTGTTTGGACCATCACCTGATGATATACCTTGTGTCTTACATGTACATGCAATAAAAAAAGTAACATGCATTTTTGTATCCCAACTGTACTTACCGCCTTTCGATGTTGTACAACTTGTAGTCAAGATGAGCGGTTCTTCCGATCACGAGTCTACATCCGACCCTGGGACCAGCGGTTCTTCCAGCGGCACCAGTACCCCCAGTCTGGAGCAGGAGGATTCCAACCCGCCTCCTACAACCACCGGGCTAGACATCACCAAGGAGGAAGAAAAACTCAACCACAACAGTTTAGAGCAGCTAGACCCCAACAGGAAAACTCCTGACTTGGAACAGGAGCATGAACATGTACTGCTGAGAAAGGCAACTCACAAACTCTCTGAGAAGAAGAGGAGAAAAGCAATTAACAAAAGATATGATGACCTGAAGAGCCTGTTGCCTGGCATGAAGGGACTGACTCACAGCAAGCAAGTCATATTGAAGAAAGGTGTTGTTTGTTTGTTTGTTTGTTGTTTTTGCTGTGAAAAACTTGAGCATGCAGTGCCCTTGTTGCCTTGTTTAGAAAGGCCATAGACTATAAAGTAATACAAAAGTTTGAAGCAACAACATTCTCATGCCAGTTTTGAAATAGACAAATTTAAAGAAAAAGTTAACGATTTAGTAGATTTAAGTTCACATAAATTTAAGAAAGGACTGTAAAGCCTGTAGTAGCCCTATACAGTATTTCAACTTGTATGATAGTGACCAACATCAGAGACTCTTGTTCTGTTTTACATTTTTCCGTACCATATGAGCAAAAAAAGCAATACTAGTACCATTCATTAAGTAAACAGTGTGTAATGTATCATATGTTTCGGCAGAACACACCAAAACTATAAATATATGTTCTGTCCTTACAGCTTTCCACTATGTTGAGAGCTTGAAGGCTGACAGTCGACTGAATCAGGGAGTGATAAGAGAGTTGGCCATTGAGAGGGAGAGGAACATCGCACTAGAGGCAGAACACAAACATTGGCAGGAGAAACTACAACTTCTCAGGTGTGTATGTGACTTGCAAATTATAAGTGTGGCTACGACGTAGATGTACCAAACCAGCTGATAATTTTCCTTTTGAAATATTATGAATAGAAGAAATCAAAACAAGCTGCTGATTTTCCATAGGAGCACATTTCAACTGCTAGGACTGCTTTCTGTAATAGAATTACAGACATGTTGCTATCCTCATTTTAACTATAAGAAGCTGTTGCAATGCATGGAACCAGTAAAGTACTTTGTGACTGTTTTGTACCTTGAATTATCCAGTATTATGCCATGACTGATTGTTGGATTTTCCCTCACAGACAGCAGAAAGGTTTGCCACCTCTAACACCTGAGGAGCTACAGGGGGTCATGTCAGGTGCCATCTCATAGGTCCAGGTTCTCACATGGGAAGACTCTCAACTGATTCAACTTTCAACTCAACCCTTTTGGACCCTAGAAAATATCAATTGTCCTCCAATTAAATTTCACTGCAGCTGCCATTTATAGTTGCATGTACAATGTACATGTACATTATTGTACTTCATATTCATAGTTTTATATGAAGAAAAAAAGTTCAGTGATGACTTCTCATGATTGGTAAAATATTGGGCAAGGATATCAAAGTTTATTTGTGATCTCTTACAAGGATGTTGTTATGTTCTATAATCCATAGTTCTGACAATGGTTTTATAATTCTGCAGTGACCATTACAATTCAGACATGTCAAGACATGTCTCATATTTTGTAAACCTGTGGTGTACCAAAACTATACTATTCTTAGCTTTACTGTACACCAACAATACTATATACAAAACAGCTATAGTGGCTCTATGTTCGCTTTTTCTATACTATGTATAGACTTCGTGGTTTCTTATAAAAAGTATATATTTTGTAACAATTATCACTGGTGTGGTGAGATAACTTGCAGTACTTACTTACCAATATCTGTAAAATATCTGAATGATTGATCATATGTGTAGCTGGATATTTGTAAAGGGATCATTGGTGCCAAAGTAGTGCTTTTTGTCTCTTGTTATATGAAATTAATTTTTACAAATGTAGAGTATATGGGTGAAACGTGTTAATGAGCCAAGTGGCAGTAATGACAAAGACAATTTGATTCTTAAGATTTTACTTCCCCAGTAGTCCATTTGTAATTGTATAAGTCCAGGGACAATGAGGGAGGCAGTCTGAACAAATTTTTAGATCAACAGATTAGGATGCACCCCATTGACCATGTCATGATCATAGGTGACAGGATACATGTAGATAACAGATTCAGGTTTAGCACCCCCTTTCTCAGTCACACTCTTTTTGAGATTTTCAAATTAAATAGCCCTTTGTATCTATGCTATGGACAATCAGCCAGCAATATGTGGAAAGTACTCCATTTTATCAGTTTTACTGTAAATATCAATATGACATTTTGTATGGCACCAACTATTTTTTGCTGGAGATGGAGGCATTCCTTTGTTCAAAGTATTGCTGATGATATTATTTGTTTTTACTGCATTACATGTTGTGAAGTTTTTGTTTGGCTTGTATTTGTAATCTATCACCTTCACATGATTTATACATACAACAAATACATGAATTTGAACATGGCTGATATTTGCACTTCATTGTCATTTGTTGTCTTCTTCGGCTCACTTTTTTTTTTATATTTTCTCACCGTAAATAATTTGTCTTGCACCCTATGGTGAAGCAGTAACAACCAGAAGGGGCTGATTTGATATACCAGATATAGAATTATTTCTTATTGATTTTAATAATCGATAAGTAACTTCATTGAGTTAACTTTAAAGTTACAAGTTACGCACAATTATAACAAAAAGGCATAACTTTGAATACAAAATTGGTTTATTTACACAAAAAAATCTCATGATTGTCAAGTCTGTCATAAAACCATTTTCTATCATGTACATAAAATAGATACAATTTGCCTTGTGGTACACTTTGCTTTCTAAAATATGTGTAGTTTGTGTCATGTTTACATACCATGTAAAATTCAATCACATATTATATATGTGTGTATCAACACCTTTTTTCGAAATTTCCATAAAGACTATATGGAATAGTAGAAGTGCATAAGGGTTCAACTTTGTTCCTTTTTTTGCTATTACAAAAGGTCCAAGTTTTACATTATAGATTATACATGTTTTTCACATGCCATGTCTAAATATACACAATATACCATTTATGTACATTTAATATCCAACAAGACCAACATAACTGCAAATTACATGTAAGTGTCTGACCTTGTAGAATGCACTTCAAATCAAGTCTTAAGAGTTTTCTGGCAGCTTCAAGCATTTTCAGCATGGCTAAAAGAGGAAACCATATATATACATGTACATGTACTTTCTTCAAAATCAAATCTAAGTAGATGTCTAGGTTTAAAAACAGAGTTGCAATGGAGTACAGACACCATCATTAATGGACAAAACAAAACCAGTACTCAGTACTATGTAAAACGTTATTTAACAGCAATGACTATGATGCTGTAATCAACTGTGTTTCAGTCCTGGTCTCTGTTTTACTCGCCCCCATACTGTCCGCAGCTGTCTTCCACTGGTGCAGTTTGATTTTAAACTGCACGGTGAGAGGGGGAGGGGGGAGTTTCTCTTCTTCATCATCACTCTTCGCTGCTCCGGAGCCAGGTCTCTTCTTGTCTCTGGACTCCTTCCTGCTGTCCGGCTTCTTCTCTTTGCCCTTGTCCTTCTCTCGTTTCTTGGCAGAGGGCGTTCTTGCTCTCTTCCCACCTCGAGATTTCTTGTCCTGTAAATTTAGGAAGAGAAAAGTCTGAGAACATCACTTTGTTCTAATTATGTCTGTCAAGATGATGGACTTGAATGAAAATAATTTTGTTCAATGACAGAATTATGGATGCTAGCTATATCCATTCCTGATGACCATTTACACATGTATAGTTCACCAACAAATGTATTACCTTCTTGTCAGATAAGGTCTCCTCCTCTTTAACTTCCTTCACTTCCACCACTTTTTCCAAGGTGTACTCCCCGTTCAAAGTGGTTTCTCCCTCCAGCATCTGTTCCAGAGATAGACTGTAGGTCCCCAACACTCTGGTCTCAGGGGGGGAGTGCCTCAGTTCAACCCCAGGGGTCTTCTTCTTCTTGTCTGATGTGCCACTCTTCCCTCCCTGTGGTAGATCAATTCAAAAGAAATCCCAGTAATCATGTATTTCCTTTTAATTGCATTTTTCTGAAGCACATATCATTTAGTTCCCATGGTTAGTATGCATGTCTGGATTACATTTTGCTTGCTTCATTCAACAGCCCCATCCAGGACTGAGTGGTAGACTGGTAAGTTATAATGGCAATTGCAAGCTATGGGCAGAAAATGTGGTTACAATGTCTATCAATACTTCTGTCATCTGCATTCTGTGGTCACAAGTCTTAAATCATAGATCAATATTGGGAATACATCTACAACCTGGACATACACACACTTTGCCATCATGGCTCGAAGGACCATATACTTGTGCCTCATATGTTACAGCCAAGTGATATTATGCATAATTTCTGACCTTGTCCTTGCCCTTAGTCTTGTCACTCTTGGCACTCTTCTCCCTCTTCTTGTCCTTTGACCCAAGGTTGGTCCTCTCCTCATCTTCATCAACTGGCCAGGACAGGACCTATTCACATAACAGTCAATCAATTACACTTTGCAAAGACTGATGATTGCAGATGACACACAGAAGAGATGGGAGGTGATACATGTATGTGTCTGGTGGACTGTACACAGCAGGTCTGATAGCAACTGGTGTTGGAATCTACCACACAATGATTGTCCCTGACTCTCCAACATGGTTGAGGATGGGACTAGCCAAATAAACAGGTACAGGTACAGGCACAGGTACAAGTATAGGCACAGATCATTGGGAAGGCAGCTTCTAACATTAATAGTTTTCTTATAATCCAAGCCTTACAAAGGTTTACATTTTGTAAATAGATGTAGAATCATCCAGCTGCTATCATACATTCTGCAATGATTATTTATATTATGTTACCTGGACATTTTATTCACTATTATAAAGTGACATCCTACCTTTTCCTCTATGAGAGATATCATCAGCCCCTTCCTTAGGAAGTCCCTTAGTCCCAGCAGGTTGTCCACTGTTATCTCCTGTTCATACTCCATGGGGATTTCTGCCTCTACCCAGGAGCGCCCTTCTGTCTTCACCTGCCGTAACCTGCAGTTCAACAACAATCAGTAAGATGGCACTTCCAATCAGTACACTATGTAATGCAGAATTTCACCGAAATTGCAAAACTATATATAAATATAGAATTTGCTTTTTTTTTTAAAATATGTCTTATGAACAGTCTCAATTCTTACTTGGGATAAATTATTTGAATAAAAATGAATTGAGTATAAATCTTTTCTGAAAACTTTTCACTCTTAAAGTCTAAAGTTGTTTTTACACAAATTTCAGGTTAGACTGGGATTTCCGTACGTACGTGTAAGTCCCTTGTGTGGGGTCTTCCTCAATGTTTTCTGGTGGTGCATTAGACAGTGTGTCACTCACAGGACCCTCCACTCCCTCTGCAGTTGTTACCACAATGGATGGCTCATCTCTTGTTACTAGTATTCTTTCACTTCCTAACAGAACAAAAAACAAATCATCAGCTGAGTACAATACAATATGTTCCACAATCCTATAAAAAGTACTTTTAAATTGACCATGTCTCTATATGCTACAAAATATATACTTTCTAACTCCAATGTACATGAATGTTCTGCTGCTACATGTACCTTTCTGTACCTCATACCAAGAAACTTCATGTCCTTCAAAATTAAGTCCTTTTAGTGTCAGCTATAAGCCCAAGACTTAGTCTAATAGCATTAGTATTACATAACTGAATACAATGCTATGAAAAATACATTTCAATATATAACGTGACATCTAATTGTTGGCATCTTAATGATTGTATATACTATAACTACAAATATAGTGCTTTTAAGCCAAATATTCTGAGCTTGCCTACTATTGCATAGAAACATCCATGGCATGCACAATATGCACTAAAAGCAACTGTACAGATACTAGGCATGTATTTCTACTTTGGTGCTACAAGCCTGCCATTGCCAAACATTTACAATACATGTACAATCATTTGGGTATCAGATGTTCAAGCCAAGCGCTGACATTAGTACATGATCATATGACACTGTGTAACTGTAAGATTATCAATGTCTACCTGCCTATGTACACGTGCCTAGGCCAGATATATTAAACAATATGCCATGTACTATTGATTCTATGCATTATTTGTCAGAGATTGGTACTGTAACAACTTAGGGTCTATAGCTATCACTATAGGAATGCATTTCATTGGAAGCCATGCATCTGCCTAATTAAAAGACATGCTATTGTACATGTTCTGGCAATACAGGCCTTTCTTTGATGTCATAATGACTTGTGAATCTCCTGGCAGACATGTTGGAGTACAGTTGCTGTATAGCAACATGTTGAGGTGTGTAACAGACATACAGACTGTACACCAACATGGCAAAGATCATGTCACATGAAAAGCCTCTATACCATCTTCAAAAAGCCATATGCATCTACAAGCCTTATATCCCTGCAAGCACCTGTGAAAAGACTACAAGTTTGAGAAAACTTCAGGGTTTACTTGGGGTCAAGGTGGGTTCCAGTTCTCCTCCTCCAGGTGTGGTTATAAATATGGATGGTCTGGCCTCCAAGTGATCGTCTGCTGAGAGAGAATGTAGCACACACACACACACAGCAAACGTTGTTTGGTAAGTACATGGTAGAATGTATGGTATATAGAACTGACGCTGATTCAACATATGACAATTACCTTGAACCCCTTTAACCTTTTCTCTGCTACTTGAAAGGTTTATGGCACCAAATTTGTATTGGTTACAGGGTTAGACAGCAGGAAATGTATTTTATTATTTTTATTGGCAGATTGAAAGCAATACATTGTATAAGAAATATATAGTCTCATAATGTGACAAGAAGAAATAAGTATGTAACGACATGAGGAAGGCAACAGCCAGAGGCTGCCAAAACATTACACAGAAAATTACATGGTTGTGTCTAGTAGAGGATATATGAATTTCAAAGTATACTTCATAAGTACATGATTTCTTACATTCTACAATGAGTCAGTACAATATGAACTTGAAAATAAATAAGAACCACAGACAAGTCTCAGATGGTCTGAGAATACACAATAATTCACAAGAATTTGTCAGCTCTTTAAATTTTACCTTTGGTCATTGGAGGTTCAATGCTTTCTGCAGTTTGTGGAGGGATATCTGGGATGATGGGCCTGCGGTCCCCGGGAAACTTGGGCTCTTCCATTTCTGGCGGTGGCTCCTCTAGGATGGGTTCTCTCACAGAATGTTCCATTGACATGGGAGGGGGTTCAGGCTTTGGCAAGACAAAAAAGATGGCCAATGAATGGCTTTCATCAGTTTCAGCATATTGCTATTGCTACATGTACAATAGAATGTTATTAACTTAACTCTCTACAAAGAAGAGCCAATACTTATCTAACGCATTGGAAATATTTCAATCTTTTAAGGTACTGTAGTGAAGACCATTGGCAAACTATCAGTACTGAACATGAACTGTACTCTACTGAATGATTACTGACAGTGACTAGTAGCTTTCTAAATACTGTAAAATATCAATTATTAGACTTGAAGTACTTACAGATTCTAAACCAGTAACCACACTGTCTCCGGCAGTATCCAGAGGCCCAAACCCCCGAGAGTCATCCAACAGTAGCCCCACCGCAGTGCTGGGGGTGTCGTCCACAAACTCATACACCACATGGTACGTCTTGGTCACTACAGGAAACTCCGGCTGGTCCTCTGTAGGCTGCAGCTCCTCCGGCATGGGGACTCCCTTCACTAGGTTAATACTCACGGTGACCTTAGCTTCATCTAGTATCACCTCTGTGGAAAGAACGCATTCATATTGGTACAGTTTCTATCAATTTACTTGTAAAACTCAACTGTTATGTCCACTAGGTCATGTACCATACTTGAGATGAAGTCTTCCTCAGGAAGACCATAATAGGTTTGACCAAAAATTTAGTTTACTTTTAGTCTTTGATCACTGAAGGTCTCAAAGAAGAGGAAACTTTCCTGCAACTTTTAATACCTATAAATGTGTTTTGGTTACAATTTACATGGTTTAGTATAATAACTCAGTGTATACCTTTCTTTTTGGCAAGTCCCTTGAAGCGGTGCCTCTCATCAGCACTGATCCTCTGGTCATCCAGGATACTCAGTTTCTTCAGACTGTCAATAGTGTAACCTCTGTAACCTGGGACAAGCTGTGGGCAGAATATACTATTTATTAGATTTCTTTAGCTGTGGGCAGGATATAAAGTTCTTAAATATTTGATATACAAGTATTTGATTCACTTTCTCAGCTAATAATTATTGTTGCTGAAAAAAAAGTTACAATTGTGTTAATAATATATAAACAGTTAGAACTTAAATGTCATCTACCAGTAGCAAAAACAACTTACAGCCAGAGGGTTTCCCTGTAGCACCAGGTTCCTGAGTTTGGGAAGTTCTGACACTTTCCTGACAACGTCTAACAAGTCACTCAGGTGGTTGAAGCCAAGGTCAATGGACAACAATTTTGGCCTGGAAAATAAGAAAAACATCTTAAAATCAGATCAACCAAATTGCAGCAATTACTGTGCCTTTGATTTAGGATTTGTAGAAAGCAATGAAAAATATTTTTTGAAGTCCTAGACCTACCAGTAGTGTCCTGTGAGGTACTCATCGACATCTGTGATGTGGTTGTACCCTAACCCCAGATGGAGCAGGGGAGGAGGCTGAACACACAGGGAGTCCAGGGTTCGGATCTGGTTGGCACATAGTTCCAATACCTGTCATATGAAAAATATACATCTTTGGCATTCCAGAATTTTTTTTTCAGTTGATAGTGAGCCCTGTCTTATTTCTAGAACTGCTGATAAAACTAGTAACACGTGTACAGCAGTGCCTAGTTCCATATGGTATTCTTTGCCATACTAGTATATAAGAATGGTTTATTTGAAGTTCCACTCATAGATGTCACACTTGCAGTCCTAAGACTGAATTATGGTAACAGTACATACATACATTATCATGGACTTATAACAATTATTACTGAAGGTTAAAAATTATGAATTACAACTACAATTTATGTAAGTGTACAATGTATAATAAAACTAGTAAAATGCGTTGGTTAAAAGATGGACATTCATGTACTATATCGAATTATTAAAATCGAATTATAAAAATATTTCCAAGTATATAGTCTATGTTCAAAATGTAGCTGAAGGATTGTTTGAAGTTTCATATAAAAACTTGTCAATTCCTCCTTTGTTGTCTTCCCTGAATACTAGTACTAGTTACAAATGATTTACTCCTATGTGTTAGTGCAGTACATGTATTTTTTTATCTCTCATTTTTTCTACATATCTACTAGTATTCAAGTCCCTTTAAGTAGACAAAATGCATATCATGCTCTCTTTTCTTAAGCTTTTTCATCACACAAGAACTGCTGACCTCTAGGTTAGGAGGCAGGTGTGTAGAGTTGACATGTTCCAGCAGGTTGACACTGAGAGTCAGCTCCTTCAGGTTGGGAAAACCCAGCAAACCTGCATCTACTTCTGTGATCTGTAAACATCAACACGAAAACAAAATGTTTAAAGTGGTAAAAAAAACTTCTAAGATTTGGTTTGCTACTGGACATTTTGTTTCATTATCATAGCATTAGGTAAATTGGTTATGATGTGAGGTAGTTCATAATGTCAACTCAATCAAAGGTTGATTAAACTATTTCATAATTTCAATTCAATCAAACTTTAATGTTAAATCATTTCAAAGACTTATATTATGTATCAATTTGGTGTGCTCTAACTTCTAAACCTTGTAGAATGCAACCCAAATAGAACTCATATCATATTCACCTGTTTGTCAATAATTTTCAGTGTTTTGAAGAACTTCATGATGAATTTCTCGTCGATGAGCCAGGGAGACTTGACGGCGAGCTCGCGTAGTTCCCGCGCCTCGTTACTCCAGCTGCAGTCGATGTTCCACGGCGAGTGTTTCAGCGTCACAAACTCCTCCAACGTCTCTCGGTGCTCAATCTGCACATTGTAGTCTGAATTGAAGGGGTTGAAAATGGTGACTTATACAGCCCCATTGCATCTGCTTTTACAAAAATTATGTATTTCTGCACTGGACTTTTGATACACCATGACTCCAACATTTGTAACCAAATATTCATTAGTAGCTTTGAATTTACAAAACATTCACAAAAAATTACTCTCAGTCTCCAGAAGTTAAAGTTCAAATATGAATTTGAAAAATATTTCATAATACGATGTTGGAAAACATGGTCGAATTTAAATAGATTTAAAAGTAGTTGTGAAAGATATTGATGTTGAAGGTTTATGTTTAACATACCTCTGGTGGTGACTGCAGACTTACTCTTGGCCTTACTGTCTCTCTGGAAGAACCAAATAAATCACTTCAACATCCAGATTATTTCATACGAATTATCCCTCTAGCAAATCACTACTTTCGCCATCTTTGCTATATATGAGACTCAGTGCCTTGCATGTTGAGCTAAATGTTGTTTACGTTTGCTGGAAAGCCTGTTTCTGTAGTTGATAAAACCGCATTTTCGTTATATCTGTACGTCATCATCGATCAATGGACAATTCTTACGTCACTTTCCTCTATTCCCGAACTTCATAATGCACGAAATCAAAGAAATTCGAGTAGGCGTGGCGACCAACGACAAGTGTCAAACTTTTGTTTTCCTACTTCTTGCCACAACTTACCCACGAGCCGAGCCCGCACGGGAACTCCCGCAGACACAGCCCTCTCAGCTGCTTCTCAAAGGCGTTGAAAGCTAGCACAGACTCTGTTTCTGTCATTGCACTGAAATACTTCCGGTAACTGTGTTCGTATCCGCCAAAAACATCAAAAATCCGAAAGGTTTTTGCTGCGAAACTTTCTCTTAGCAACCAGACGCCATGTTGTGGGGTCAAAGGTCATATTTACATGACAAGGGAATGCTGGGAAATACAAGCCAGATACGCGGGAACTTCAAATAGTAGCGATATGGTAGCCTGACTTGTACGTCTGTATTGTGTTAGCCTGTATGTAAGTACTTTTTGATGGAGAAAAGGAGCAAAAAGGAACCAATCTCGGTGAATGTCTTTCCTTAAGAAATAAAGTCTCTAAACGTATCGTTTTAGCCTTGCAGACCATTTCTACCTCCATGGTATGTTCAACATTTATTCTTCTAGGTTAAAAAGTAACCAATGAAAATGCTCATACTGTTCATCATATATATTTTTCAATAGCTTTCCCCTGAAGTTAGCATTGTGTTTTGAAGCCTTCTGAAGGCATAAGTACTTTCTGATTACGTGATAAATTTCTTTTAAATTTCGATAGGTCAGCCAACAGCATTCAATAATATTGAAGATCGGGAGCAGCTTTTCTCAACATACTTTCACAGATAGAATCGATCTTTGAATTTTCATTGTTTTATTTCAGAAATGAAATGAGAATATTCTTATCATTTGTGTAGTTTACTTGCGCAACGTGATATGGCCACACAGGTATAATGTAAATAGTTATAATAATTCAGTGTTACACAGTGTATAAAACGAGACAAAACAACATAATACAGTGTGTATACATGTATGGTTATCGTGTGTTAATGAAAAATAGCATTAAACGCCGCCATTTTTTCTAACATACCAAGTCTCTGGACAATAGGCGTAGAACACGAGCTATGCAGCGAATTTTTCCTTTTTTCCCCGTCTTTTTCGCGTCTGGAACAACCATATGCATGTCAGACCTTTCTATCAGAAAGACAGGCTTTCCTTACGTGTTTTGCCGACATCACGATGCAAACTTTCATGGAGGTTACTGTTTACAAAATTGTCGGTCAACTTCAGTTTTCAAAGAACGTCAATCACTGGGGCACACACAAACAAGTAACACGTGAGAAGAGTCTAAAGTCTTTGTGTAAGAGTGAACATAATCCTTGCACCGTGGTATCGAATTTCGGCCTGTACAAAGACAGTTATGCAAGGGAGCTCGGTAAGACTAAAATACCCTGTAAGACGTCACACACAGATAAAAATTCACAAAACTGGAGACTAAGAAACACATGCGGCAACTACAATCACAATCCATCGTTACCTTACACTAATAGAGTATTTTTCTACATCAATTTCATATGGATACGATGCATTTTTCGTGCTAAAAGTCTGTACCCAACCCGCCAGATAGCATAACTTTGGATAACAAAATTGGTGCTTTTGCGATCAACATTATTTTACTTTGATTACAAGTCCTAGAAACGGTATCGTGTCAGGAACATTTCAAGATAACGTTGTGAGTGTCCAGCGTCAGTTCTATTTCCAACAGGTACCTGGTCGACTTAAACCCGTGAGACATTCCGTACTAGGGTCCAACTGTACCCGGTAAAACCAGCGTCCATGTTGTAGTACACAGCCGAAGTCTGTACCACAAACCCAGGCTTCTTCATCACCGCCTGCAGGACCATCGGCCGGTTGACTCTCACCCTCGCCCCGCTCAGACTGATGCTGAAGCAGCTATCCATGCTCCTCTTCACGTCGAAGTCGTCCTCTTGTAAGCCCCTCTCTACAAGAAGGTCGCGAATGCTGGCCTCCACATCGGCGCTCATGCTGCCATCCCCCGCCTCTACTTGGATGTTCACGGCGCCAAAGTAGCTTTGGTACTCCAAAAAGATGACGTCCGCCATGTTGTTCAATGTTGTCAGCGAATTTCGGAATCAATTTAGCAATCAATGATGGTTCGAGACCGCACGCTGAACCGCTGATGATGTCCGGTCAGATGCAGCAAAGCAAGGTACCAGTACAGTGGCAAATAAGTTACCGCTCCTCGGCCGAGAGATGTTACCTTGCGTATGTCATCAAAAGCGGTAGTGTATGAAGTCCACCACAAGATAGCAACGAGCAAAAACATAAACCCCAAAGAGCCTGTCCTTCACACTCCGTGTGTGGTGTCAGGGTGCTTACGGTACGGGGTAGGGTGGGGTGAAAGAAAGGTCCACAATCCTCGAGGTGCCCAGGATCGCGTTTCCTGTTGTAACCAAACTGGGTTACCCTGGAGTGCTGTTCAGCATTTGTCCTTCTGTTTACAATAACATTGAAAACCAGTGTATCATATATTGTGCGGCTGACCGTTCGACGTAAGCTATATGATCGCGGGGGAGAGTGGGCAGACTTTTGTTACACGGTTCGAATCGAGTAGGTCTAAAGAGAGGGGTACTTTATTGTCCATGACTTGGGCTACTTTGTTGCCCAAGAAGTGGTGCGTGATACCCCTCTACATTTTCGTCAACAAATTATTTTGTGAAAAAAGGAATACAGAACGTTGCATTGCGGCATTGAATATAACTTATCAAAACAGGAAGACAAGTGTTCAAGGTTTTACCATCAGTTTTATTGCAGCTATGTCAATCATTGCAGCTATATCAGTCATTGAATCATTCCCATTTAAATCAATCAACCTCGGTTGTACAGGGGTAAAACCAGGTTGATTGATTGTAACAGTCGTCTTACTATATATCTAATCGATATATTAACCAACATATAGTATCATTGCCTGGTTCTCAGAGCCTTCCAGTGAGTCTTACATAGTGGAAGACTAACTTAAAGTTCATGTAGAACTAGACAGCAATGCTACAACGTACTTCAGACGTATTTTAATTATTTTAAGCTCCTAGGTATTATCTACTATTAGTTGAAATTGGCGTCACAGGCAGGTATAACTTGATCTTAATGTAAAACAGACTGGAAAAGAGTTAGGATGCACCCTTATTGCTTATGCCTAATAGAAGGTGTATACCTTTGCTTGTGCCTTGTTACATTCATACATACACCTGGCCATGTAACAACGGAGGATTGTGTAGCTTACTAAGTTCTTGCTAGCTTGCATTGGTGTAAATATTAAAGCTTCTGAACATCTAATAAAACCATATAGTATGTGATGAAATGTTAATTTTGCATGTTTCAAATAAGCGACGCTGTTATGACAAACACCAAAAACAGCAAATTTAGGGTAGGCGACATTGATATAATTCCGATTGAAGCAATAGCCTGGATGCCTAACTGTTTCCATGGCCTACGTACAGTCAAGCTCCTCGCCTCCAGGGCCACATGCCCCCAAGGTCAAGCACACCATAACACAGTCTCCCTGGCGTAGGCCGTGAAACTTTCTGGCATCCAGGTTACTCTCAAGAAGTCTGTAGAAGTCCACCAAATCAGTGAAGCGTGCTGTTTATATCTTTGTAAATATGGCGACCGCTAACTGCTGCAGAGTAGCTTGTTCTTCCGCAGGCATCGTTGAAGGCGACATGGGATGACTTTTAGGGACTGGGAGTGCAGAAAGGCCGGCTTGTGGGGTCGACGCCATTTTCTCGAGTCAATGGCATTGTACGCCACGAATATCCTATGAAAATACAGCAAAAGATGGTGTTATTTTCTATAAAAACAGTGTTGAATGCCCTATCCTCCCCGGGGCAACTAATAATTGGTCGTGTGGCTGCCACACCCCTCCTTGTTTTGTTACAACGGCATACCTAAAATGACTCTGAAAAACCATATGCGTGTTTTACCATGTTACTGTCTAACAAAACTGGTACAATGTTAAAATAAGCACTAATGTGCTTCGTAACAGCTAATGAAACACTGTCTATCATAGGGTTAGAATTTCTTGACCATTGTTTAATGGTACTTTTCCCGCCCTTTTCGACGGCGACGTCGTTATTTATAGGCACGTGTGGACAAGACAAGTGTAAAAGGAATCCCTTGGTACCTTCTAGGGCTACCTGTGTACCGGTACACTGCACCTGTACTGGTACAATTGTAAAGGTACAGGCCCATACTTTACCTGAACGTAAAGTATACCTATGCCTGAACAAACTAAAACACTTGTGGATACCATTTTTACATCCTGTCTCTCAAATGACAATTTCGACCGTCTTTTCATTCATCCCTTGAAAATATCCTTGCTTCGAGATAAAAAGGAAAAAAGGAAATCCTCATGCAAAGATGACAATTCCCCACAAAAAAGACAGATTCTTGTGTATACGTATCTTACAAATAATTGATCAGAATTGTTTGTGTACAGGTAGAGGTCTCGACGTGTATGCATGTATGCGACGTGTACCTTAACCGCTCCGTACCTTTACCTGAAATATCGTTGGTCCATCAATCTACTAGCTGCAATGTGTCACCCCGCTTTTATCTACTTTCACATCCGAGCAGATGTTCTGACCACTCTTGCACGTCTATTTTACTGTATAAAACTTCAAACAATAACCTTGAGTCATGTCTCTCACCTCGTCTCCCTTAAATGAGCGGTATGATCATAGGTAAGAACCAGGTGAAACTCAGGATGCACCCCAGGAGGACGACCACCTGTGTAGCGTGACTCATGGCTCTTGTCTTCCTCGTCTGTCGTCTGTAGATCTGTCTCAAACGTTTCTTACAACTCCGACTTGGACGAACCACCAACAGATAAATGAACGTTTATCTGTTGCGTATAGCTGTGACGTAAGTTGATCAACCGCTTGTCAATGACCTTAAGTTATCATTTGACCCCATACAGTAGAACCGGGGTTAAAATTTAGCTGGGGTTTTGCTCCGGGGGGTTACTTTGTTGTGGTATCTTTGTTGATTTTAGAGGTCATTCTTTGTTATATTATTTTGTCCGTGGTTGGTTGATTGTTTGATTGTTTGATTGGTTGGTTGGTTGGTTGGTTGGTTGGTTGGTTGGTTGGTTGGTTGGTTGGTTGGTTGGTTGGTTGGTTGGTTGATTGTTTGGTTGGTTGGTTGGTTGGTTGGTTGGTTGGTTCGTTTGTTAGTTTGTTGCCTTCTTGCCTGTTTTTTGTTTGTTTTGGTCCGCTGGTTGGTTGGATATTTTGTTGATTGTTTACTAATGAAATAAGACCATAAGCGTGTCAAAGTTATACCAATGTTATCTTTATTGCATGTTGATTAAACTATTCCATTCATCGAGTAGGTTATCCTAACAATCTGGTTTTACTTCACTACCAACGAACTATAAAACCAGGTTGCCAGGCTAAAACAGTCTTCTCGAAAACGATATAACAACATTCGTTATATTCGTCAGCAAGAAAAGTCAGTACGGTACCAACAGCAAGTCCATAGATATTTGAAGTGAGTCCAACATCTTTTGTAAGACAAATTTCTTGTACCTATGGAACAAGTCTCAACATCTTCCTGTTGCTAACGGACGTTTCAGTCTGACGGCATGTGAAAGATCATACATTTAACGATGAATGAAACAAAGTAAACAAATGATAACACGAAAAGGCGAAAGAGGAAGCGAGCACAGTACGTAGATATCAACCCATCAACTCTAATAGTTACAGATGTTTCCCAGATACAGTCCGAGTCACCAGTAGATTTTCCTGATGGAGCGAGGCGAGATGTTCGAAGAACCAACAAATGAAGCTCGATGATCTACTAGTATTCTGTGTCCGGTGCGTATGTTGTCTATCCTTGCATGCAAATCATTGGAAGAGGAGATTTGTCGCCGAAAGGATGCTGATGATCACCAAGAGTCTAGATTAAGTGTGTCTTCTGGCTGTGCAGGTGGTTTCTAAGTAAGAGGGTGCGATGTTGGAAAGGCTCCTGTAACTGCAGCATCGTTGTTATTCTCGAATGCGTGGAAGGTCATGGAGGCCGCCATGATGTTTCTTCTTCACCTCGCTGACCTTAAGACGGAGCCTATCGGAGATATCAAAAACATAATTTTGAATCAATATTGTCAAAGATATCAAATAACAAGTAACAAGCCCCTGTTCATATTGCTTTTATTGATTGCAAAGAAGGATTTGTTTCTTAATTCGGAACAAACTGATTGCTAAAAATAGTAGTCTGTGTAACGCAAACTGTGCCGTCCGCGGCTTTAGTGGCCCCTCCCCGCAGTTCGGGGGGCGGCTGAATGTTGGGCGGGCGGCAACCGTTAAGCGATTTAATCAGTCTAGCTAAAAATAACTGAAATGCTAGGGAGACATACAAGACAAATGTAATAGCTTGAATGGAAAACAGTTTGGCTCATACTATTGTAAAATACGTGTGGCTGTTCTAATGCCCAATAATGGCCATTATTGGTGAATCACTTGACTTGGAAATAATTGGAAACAACATAAAACCATTATTCTTGGAGAAAAAAAAGAGCCAGAATACTTTGAAAACTTCATCTTTAAAAATTCAATTGATAAGTTCTTCAATATGAATCATATAACAAGACACGTACCGAGCAGACAAGGGACACAATACAATACGGGGCTGTGTTAGGCCCATCTCCACATTAATACACTTGAAAGAACAAGTAGACAACTTCACTGGTCATAATTACGAAGGTCGCAAAATAACACATATCTTTTAGCAGTGGCAATCAACATCGTTGGCTACTATTGAAATGTATTTCTTGGCATCCCTAGATGTGAAATCATAAAACCAATAAAAGTTGATCATTTATGGTTTTTGCCCTTAATCTCCAAGCAGATACTGGGTTGAAAAAGAAAACTTTACGATTTTACTTCGCAACATCTACTGGAGGTTACCTTACCTTAGATGATAGTTATGAGTAGCGGAACAAGCCAAGTTAAACTGAGGAAGCAAGCCGCCAGGGCCACAAACTGCGTCCCGTGGTCGATCATAGTCCTCCAAACGTCTGCTTTTGTTATCAGTAGTTTTTTTTCACATGTGACACGCGAGGGGTTCAATTACTCAGTGGCAAATTGAAGAAGAGTTGCACAACCAGTTTAGGAGGGAGCGGGGCTGTTGTGACCCTGCCGTGGTGGGATTAAGGGTGAAAGGGCAACTACGTTCGCTGGAGTGTATCAAAACAAACATTGACTATCTGCGCCTTTGCCATATGCCCTATGGCAATGCATGTACATGTATTTTACATTCCTCCCTCCGGGTTTGTAAAGCAGTGGTGCCAGCTTTCGTGCTGCGACAAGCATGAAACCGCTAACTTTGAGCCATTCGCATATTGGTCGCATATCTCATAAGCAGTGATAAAATCACAGATATGTACAAGATCATGGCTCCTCTTTATATTTGTGTTGAACAGGGGGTCAAAAGTAACACTAGCTAAATGAGAAATGCTATCGATACTCGTTAACATCGTCCTAATCATAACGCGGTAGGGAATTTCCGTGCAGCCTTCGCAGCCCCATCTCCTCCAGTTGGTGGTCACATGTCAGTCAGTCCTCACTGTTAGTGAGTGGAGTTTGTCTCAATAATATAATCTCGAAGCAGATCTTTCGTTGGCCGCAAAAGTCAGTATTAATTTGCCAGACAGTGTCCATTGGCCGGACAGTCATAGTCTCCACCAGACTCCTTTTGCAGGCTGAATAAATCGGCCTAAAAAGGAATAATTGGCCAAAGAAGGTAGCCGGCCATACAGGGTCCAATCGGCCTGCACGGGTCCAATTTCTACGATTTATTCAGCCTGCAAAAGGAGTCTGGTGGAGACTAAGACAGTCACCCATTGGTCACCCTAGGTGGCTAATGGATACTGCCTTGTCAGCGTATGATCTGCTTGAAGATTATCAATCATGATGTTTCTGAGAAAAGATGCTGTTATTCGTGGAACCCGTAACCGTAGAACTAGAATGGCCTTCGGACCACACCTTGCAGTGGCCTTTGGGTCTTGTTACGTTGTGATCAATAGGTAAAAAAAATGCTTAATTTGTTACTTTTGGGAGGCGGGAGTTGACAAAACGTCCATGTGAGTATTTAGTATGCCACAGCTAGAAATACGGCCATCTATAACTGCTAGATTTTTGGATGTAGAATTAGTAGAATCCTTACCATTAAGCAGATGCATCGCTCCCACCTGTTATGTGCGAGTTTTGTAACGTTCCGTACGTCTCTCAAGCCGTGTGTCCGCCATAAGTGTGGTTTAGTTTACGGTTCTTGTTAGGCGAGAATCCTCTATGTAAACCTAGCCTCCTTACCAGGCTCTACAGTTTGGTCTTTTTTTAGCTTTAAATTGACTTTCTCCTGGTGACTAATGTTTTCTATTTGTCCTCTGGTTCTTATATTGGCCAGCACAAGAACCAGAGAACAAATGGCCAAAAGGCCACGAGCATAAAAAGTGCACTATAAACCAAGAAGGATCCCCAGTCATAGAGCCCGCTATGGCGGCTAACGTATACCCTGTAATTACTCTTTCCCACGGTGATTATATATTATATAAGCATCCTCAACTCAACCGTATTTTAACGAAAGTTTGCTTGTCGATATATTAGTGAAGACGGGGTTTGTGTTGCCTGTTTATACATACAAATGTACGTACATTATACACATGCATGCACCGAACGCTCCTTTCTGTGGAATTCAAGGGTGTGTTGTGCCCTACGTGCCATCAAGGGCAAAATCAGGTTTCGTCACACGGTAACACAGCTAAACAAAGGTTCATACTCGTTTGCTCAGAAGATCGTATACCCGTATGCCGACGTCTTACCATATCCTTATCACAGTAGAGGTTATTTTCATCCACCTCTGTTTAAAATGCGTCCTTTGTGATCAGATGGTCAACAATGGTGACACAGTTGAGACCACTTACCGACAGAGGCCCGTTAAGACCTTGGTATGGTGGCGCCGTTACAGCATGACGATCAAGTAGGGAGCCAGGCTAAAAATCCCGACGATTAAACCAACCACGATAACCGCTTGGTTAGCAAGAGACATCTTCTTCTTCATGTTTAGGCCGTGATGTTGACCAGCAGTGGCCGGTGTGTTCCGTCAAAGGGTGGGTTTATACAGTTATGTCTGATACGTGACGTGATGAGAGGTACGTACGTATCCCAGAATCCAATGTAGAGTTTAATTTTAAGAAGCGGAACAACCGGTCGGTTCGACTGCAAACAATAGAAGAAACCTTGCGGAAAGTCAACGGATCACGCCCCAACAGTTAAGTATTTCAGTACGCTAGTATAACGTCCTTACATGAATAAGCAATGTACAAAGTATTGAATGACTATGGAATACGATCATGGAATGCTTGTAGTAGCGGGTAAAGGGTAAGGTAAGAGTTCTGTACATGGGGTCAGTGGTACGGTAGACGTCCAGTATAGCACAAGAAAGATGGGGCTATGAAACGCTTGTGGACTGAATCCGCCTTGAATAATGCCCTTGTACATGTACACTTCCGTGGGAAGTATGCTAACACGTAATTCGTAGTCAAGGATAAAGATTTTAAGGTGTGGCCCTATCTCTATCCTTTATAGCTATAGGTGTCGTGCTATTCTGTTGTTTAAAGCAGACTTACACTTGCATCCCAGTGTGTCATGAAAGGATTTAGATGTTCATCTTTCCATCTGATAAGCTGTTATTCTATGTAAAGGTTTGGAAAGAATGTCTTACTTGCTGTTCTTCTTTACCAAGTTCTCTGAGTGGCATTTGGAATAAATGACGCAGCTGCATACACTAATTTGACGGTTATTTTTATACGATGGCAAACTATACCATCTTGGTACAGGGTATATCTGCACCGCGATGCCGTGAAAACATACTAGTACCACGTGGCTTGGTGGTTCTTTTCGTCAGACAGCGACCTACTTTAGTGTACTGCTTTTGTCTACTCACCTACAAGTAGACCCCGGTGTCCGCGCGTCACAGCATGGCGATGAGGTTCGGGACTACAACGAAAACGCTGAACAGTATGGCCGCAAGGACGACCACATGGTTAGCTAAAGACATGATCGTCCTTCCTCACTACTCTTCCACGTACCGACGTTAATTATTATAATTGAGCTGTACTCTTCCACTACGGTAACGAAGTTTCCCTACCAGTGGTCAGTACGCTGCCTAGGACTGCGCCAGCAGTACACGCGCATATAGACTTCTTGGAACGTGTAACAGACTAGAAAAACTTGATTTATCTTAATGACAGTGTCCTTGTACTGGAACTAGAACAGTTGAATAAATTAGAGTACAAGTGTCGTTGAGACTTTAAGGCTACCATTCTCTCACTATTGAACGCACACGACTCTGCAATGCAAGGGATTATTGAGAGGGGCATTTGCTAAAAAAACTTCAGCTAATATGAATTCCTATTATGCGTCATATGTTGATCATTATGGACACACTTTTTGCCATTAATCCTTTTGTTTTGGCGACGCCCAAGGGGTGGAGACATGTCATATTCAAACTGCCTCCAATGACGTCACGTTTCCCTGCTACACGTATGTACTATGCCTTCTGTACTTTAACAATCACCATGTCAACCGAGGGAATGCTACATTCCTAGTGAACTTCTTAGTACCCTAACCACACGGCCACACCATCGTTGAGTATCAAGATAAGGCAGGGTGTGAGTTGTGCATTACACGTTACCCGGTATGGACAGAAAAAACTCATCCAACTACTCGATATGTTTATAGACACATGTATAATTGAGACAAATGAATCTTTGCATTGAGATACTGTAGTGCGCATAATATATCTTCCACCCTCATGCTGTATATTGTAATTATTTTGCGAACAGTAAACATTGTTTCCCGGCAATAATCATTAGCATAGATTTAAGGCAAAACGAAAAAATGGCAAGTTATGACTTTACGTATGTCGTTGTGAGGACATGTCCAAATTTACAAGATCTCTATTGCTGGTGATCTGTCGTTATCTATTTCAATCATCGTAGGAAAAGATTTCAGGTACTGAAAATGGTTTGTGGGGAGATACAGGCTTAGCCACGTTTGAGGTCGTATTCTTATAGCTGCAGCGCCACCTAGCGGCGTTGTGGAATGATTGTTCATTGTCAGGAAAAGTTCATACATATGGTTCACATGATGTACTGTCTGGTGCTGATGTTGTCCTCGGCAACGTAGAGGCGAAGGCGAGAAGATATGGCGAAAGTAGCCGAGGGCTTCCGAAGAATTCCGAAGAGAGCATGTAGCCTGTAGTACCTCAGCGTGATGATTGTGACGTGATGGCATCACGTGACGTGCTGGTCCCCTGGCTGGCTGCCATCACTGGAACAAGTAGAGCCCGCCCCAAGCATACCTGTGTGTACATACATAAGAACCGTCAACGAATCAACGTTAGGTCACTGTTGGCAAGATTTAAGACTGCCGATGTTTTGGACGTCAGTAAGTGACGTCAATCGAAGTATTCCTCATCTGCTTTCATCTCCAGTTGTTAGAGTCTCCAAGTAACTATGGATCATTGCCAGACCTGTCCTTCGTTTCGCCAACACCTGTTTACATGCCAAATGTCATAAGAATCCATCACACACTTCAGTTCAACATTGCCGGAGGTCATGGGAAAGCTGAACAACTAGTACCCACCTTCGCCTTCACATGTGCTACAGCTAGACACAATGTTTTCAAAATATCTGTAGCACTTCTCCTGAAACTATTACACATTGTTTAGCCGTTGCTAAAACCGTGACCAAAGCCATCAACTAAAATCCTTTGGAATACCAAGAGCATAACGCTACCTGACAAACTTGACAAACACAACGCTAACTTTTCACTTCTCAAGAATGCTCACAAAACAATGCCCATTGTCGCCATGACCCTGAAAGCTAAGTGACAAACCTTCGGACGATCTTCACATGAAAGGAGATGCCATTATGATGAAGATACATGCAACGGCGAGGCCAAGGCCAAATATCAGCTTCTCGCGCAGGGTTAAGGTAGGCATTGTTGCGTTTATGCCCAGCCAATATGCCTCCGTTTCCAACTGTGCACAACAAGTTCTTCCCCTCAAGGGGTCTACATTGGTGAATGGCAGAATAGCTTGTTTTTCTCTTCGTCGTTGCGTCGGCGCAAGCGCCATGACATCTACGACACATAAATAACCTGCCCTTAACTGGAGACCCGCCCGAGTCATGTCCGGTCAGGCGTGCTTTTGCGACTCTTAGGCCGTTTTTCGTCAACGTTAACCCCAGCTGCAGATACTAGTAGCCTCTACCAGGCTTCGGGAGGCGGCTGGAAAGAGTATTAGTAGAAATCGGCCAAATAGAGAGATAGCATGCCAGGGGAGTTCGTCCGGCAGACCGGGTGCGGCAAACAGGACCCCTGGCATGTTATCTCTCTATTTGGCCGATTTCTACTCTTTCCAGCCGCCTCCCGAAGCAAGGCTAAACCCCAGACACGACCGCAAAAGGGAACGGACATACTATTTGTAATAGTTCCGATTTCTAAGGCGTCAATAGCCTTTATGCTTATGGAGAGCTTACACACGTTTGAGCCCCCTGTCAGCTTTCTTTGGAACTACATGTGTGTTTTTGTTTACAGACTTTCAAACAACAAGGCTCAAAAAATGGTTGTATTTCTATCAGACACCGACTATTTCCAGTATCTTTCTCCGTGAGGAAGAGATCTAGAAGTGAGTTCTGTTTCTGTGTACCAATCAGATATCGTCTAAAACAATGAGAGAAGTCATGAGACAACCCCCGATCATATCTCCGGGCATTGGAGGCCAGTAGGGGGCTCAAAAATCTGTGACGGATTTCTACAGATAAACGGCTATAAATAGACATCAAATTGATAGGCATTGTTTTGAAATGTTCTGTCTGAATATGAACTGAATGATGAAGAGATGACAGGGGGACTCATGCTAACGTTAGATATCACTAGATCGTAAACATTTGACAAAGGGTGAGAGTGGAAATTAATGAGGCAGAACAATATCGTGCAAGTGGACCTTATAAGCCACTTCTGTGAGGGCTAGGGAGCAGAGTAACTACCGTACTGGTCTTTGTTCCCTGGCCGTGAATATACCTGTCGTAGCCATTACCTTCTAACTGAAGAACATTTCAGTTAATTAAGTGAGAAATATCCTCATTCAGTCATACATTCACTGGTCATTGACCTCTCAAAATGTCAATCTCTCTGTCTTTCTTCGAGACATGACAAGACTCTGGACAAACTTAAAGACAAATAATCCATCGTAACTGAGGGACGATGCCAACAGAAAATGCCAATTGCAAACATATACATGTAGTCATATGAACAGTATTTATACCACCTGCGCTAATCTAAAATCATGCCATGTTAGGCTGGTGTTCGTGAAACAATGGCCAAAACATTCCTTCATACTAAATTTCACATTTTAATTGTATGTTGAAATCGTTCCCCGGAGCAAAGTACTGAAATGAGAGAAACAATACGGACGTTTGTCAATGTATCATACATTGTGTGTATGGCTACGATTGTTAATGAATTTAATTAGTAGAACGTTATGGTTGAAAACAGACTTCCATCCCCCTGAGTTGAGAAATGAAGGTGTTTAGTCGCAGTGTCATATTTCAGTATCCTCTCTACCCTCCAGCCATTAAATTCTATGCACCAATGCACTCTCCGCTCTGGCAGTTATTTACAAAGCAATATCAGAGCGTGAATATGCTCGGGGACATTGGAGAAGAAAAGTCGAAAGACCACAGAGGTCGCCATTGTCTTGTTTTTAATCCGACCCTCCAAATTCGGAATGACCTCTACACTGTATGAACTGGATATGGCCGGTTCTTACTTGGATTTTCCAGCAAGTCTTAAGGTTATTGACCCTTTTAATGTTGTTATCGAATGAAAAATCGCGAAAACAAATCTGCCATACCCCTAGGCAAACCTACATAGCCTGCGACTATATCTTGCTTTTCAATCACAGACAACACGAAATGTTGACGTCTCGGTCTCTAGACACTAAGGTAGATCAACCTTGGACAAAAGACCTTCATCTTAAGTTTAATGGCCCTAAGGACCAATCAGATGACAGTCTGACAGGCATGTATCTTGACAATAATCATATAAAACAACCATAATGAGGAAGATACGGATATTATTTAGACTTGAAATGACAATGATGACACTGTGAAGGGTTGGTTCTTGACGTTTAGTGGTACGAGTAACACCCAGGCACTAGAACAAGTGACGCCCTGTAGTACGCACACACACACGTGCACCCGTCTGACATTTGAAGGTCATTATCACGGATCAGTAACGACAGACAACTCAAACTCAACTTCACACACGCGACCGACAACTCGTGGGACCACAAGTGACAGACAAGCACAATAGTACAGTATAGGGCCAAAAGATTATGTCTATTAAGACACATAAAATAGATACTTTTTTTCACAGTACATTACCTATCTCAATATACAGGAAATATTACACCTTATTTAATTACGCCAAAACCCGGATGATATTAGTACTATCACAATATCGATAGACAATATCACACCTTAGTACTTACTAAAGACAGACCTTCTCTAAACCTTCTCTTCTACCTTCTTGCTCTCGCTCTTTCATGCTCTATCTAGGATGTAGGACATGTAGGACACATATTGAATGCATCTCCCAACACCTACTGTGAAAGTGTGTCATGTCACTGACGACCAGACATGGGGGGAATAATTGCCACTTTTCCGCCAGACATGACAACCTTTTCCGTCAAATAAACCACCATAATTATACCTGACATGCTCGCGAGTGTAATCGTCTTCCTAATGTAGTACAAAACATGTACAAAGGATGATGAAATCGCTCAAAACAATGCAGATGTCACTTATATTTTATTTGATTTAGGAATCAAAATCAAACTTCTAGCCTTTATCTGCCGTACAAAACAAAATCTTGATGGCAATAATGTCTGTATACTTTATGAGTATATTACAATTTACGATAAATTTACAATGGCCCAAACTGACTGTCAAAGATTTTTTTAAAGGCGGACGCTAGTAAACTTTAAAACCTGTACATATGGACATATGTTCATTTCTAAGCAGTGTCATTGTGAACAACAAGAGGCACAGCCAGGTAAGTGTTATACAGCACTCTAAAAGTAAAAGGGGTACATGAAATACTGACTACTAATCTGTTACAAGGTAGCAAGCATAATATGAACAAGACACTCACTGTAATAACGTAACACCCCTCCAGACATATCACACCATTAAAATGAAGGCCCACACGACACCAACGGAGCCCAGCACGATGAAAAACACCGACACGTTCTCCACAAACTTATCCAAGCCCGTCATTTTCTTTTTGCGGAAGGCAGTACCCAGGTTACGTTGCAGACAGCACAGTGGCGCACGAGCAAATGTCGCACAGGTGAACACGGCTGGTAGATCAAATTGTAGCCTCAGGACAAAGGTGATTGGAGCTTCTGGATCGTCACAAACGTTCTGACAACGATGGAGAGCAACATCGGTCTTTGGCAAAGAATGGCACATAAATGTTGGTGTGGGTGTCAAAAGCACTTTTTAAAGTAGGTGTCTGGCACGTAAGGTGGAAGTTAATTTTCTGTCCATATCTACTCTCCAAGCAGAGGTTTAGGTTTGGGGTTATTTTTCGCGTATTTTTAGGCTTTTTTATCGGGGTTTCTTTTTTGTACTAGAATTTTTGGGGCGGTTGGGTGAAAAAAATCCAGTTCAGAAAAGAAACCCCGGTAAAAAAAGCCTAAAAACACGCGAAAAAAAACCAAAAGCCACACCTCTGCTTGGAGAGTAGCCTGACAAGTAGCCTGAGGGCGCGCATGTATTCTAGTCACGTCATGAATAGGTACAAAAGTCGTGATTGTGGTTGATAAATGCCTGTGCATCATAGGAAAACACTCTTTCCTGTCTGTGAACGAATGAGTCTCTTGTACATAAGCCGCTAAATTGAAGGAAATTTATTTCTTTTTAAATAATTTGCATGACCCTATCCCATCATTAGCAATAGTCTGTACTAAAGTCGCTCAGTAAAGAATGTGGCTCATTCTGCTTTCCGCATCCAGTTAATAATTATTTATACTTATTGTAGAGCAATGTTCTCCACTGCTGCATTTTATTATTATATTATATTACACGACATAGCATATGAACCGTATGGAGTAAACCATGCGACCTGGACGAATCTCTCCAAGTCAGTGCTGGCCCATTTTCCCCCATTTACTACGGTTCCATAACTGTCCTATACATCGAAAAGACAACAATACCACAATTATGTAGGATGTCCTCAAAATACCAACTTAGGACTATGTAACGCCGAATATTACACCGTTGAATTAATTATAGAAATGTTAATCTCATGACTCTGTCACTGCACAATATACCAGCATACTCTATGTACAAGTAATGCAATGTTCCACATACGAATATCATGCGTGTATGTACAAGTGCAACTCACTCTGTTCTTCTCATTGGACGCCTCACGTCATGACGACAAAGGCCCAAACGACACCAAAGGCGCCGAGCACGATGAACAGCACCGAAGCGTTCTCCAAAATCTTCCCCAACATCATGATTATCTTCGCCGTGAGACCCTGATACAAGTCACGGTACCCCTGTGTTTTCAGGAGGAAGCTAAGGAAACTGTGTGTACGTGGCTGCACACACGCACATTATGTCACAGGTGACACTGTAGCAGATCAAGTTGGGGCTATCCTCGGGCTGTGCTAGTGCGGTCGGATCCGGATGGTTTAGGGATCGTTGCAAATACCCTCCGTCAAGGGCAAACTTAGTGGTCTATAAGTGCAAGATACAGTGTTGTTATATGTGGTACCAGTGAATATTGGCACTGAAATAATTTCTGTGTTAAAAGGGGAAGAAAACTGTAACAATAAGCTATGTGGCCAAAGGATTTATCAAGGGTATGATAACTATGCAATGTCTTACACCTTGCGTTGGGGATGCCCTACGGCTGAAGGCAAACGTCAACAAACGTCGTCCTCAACTAAGCCATTGTTCTCGTCAGCTGGGCGACTGCAGCTGTACGTGGTGACCTTTCAAGGACGTCATCAATCGTTTAGAAAGAACAATGAGAGTACTCAGAAGCCTGATGGGGTGTCGAGGCAGCAGTGTCTTCTTTATTCTATCATAGCCTTCCAGTTTGTATGCATTTTTCCTCACGTGAACAATAGGCACTTAAGTCTAACTAAGTAGTGTCGGTGTAAAAAAAAAACACTGATGATGCTGGTCACCGAACAAGAAGGGAACTCTTTATTGGTCAAAATTATATATTCCAATAATACACTTCAATATGAATGATAGGTACCGAATTGTTACAAGAAATTATCTAATTTTTCCGTCATCTAACAATTAAAATCTCCGCGGACGGTATATATTGCATGGTGCTGTTAAAAACTCTATATGACAGTGGAGATTGGAATGTGGAATTGTCCTAAGGGAGATAGGTATTCCGATTTGCCCTAGGACAATTTCAGATTCCCTTAGAACAAATTAGAATTCCAATATGGCTTTGGACAGATTGGAATCTAAGTCTGGGATCTGAATATTGGAATTCCAATCTGTCCTAGAACAATTCTCCTAGATTCTGCTAGCCCAGATTGTAATTCCAGTCTATCTGTAAGTAATTCACCTAGGATTAAAGAGTAACGATAAATGTGGGTTTATCAATGTAGAAAAGTATACATATAGACCAACAATAGAAGCCAAAAAGCTGAGAGACAGCAATGATTGTACCGACATCAGCAAGTACTCTCCCTTAACAAATCAGACAAGACTGCAGGTTGTCAGTTGTTCAACTCAGACTTGAGCTCTTATATTCATTTTTCTCCTAGCGATACTTCTTATTTGTGCACAGGGCAGAAAGTTACCATTCCTAGACACTGGAAAATACGGAGATGTTCCTGTGTTGTGGCATTCTGGTCAGAAAGCCGGTAGTCAGATCTGTTGTTTTCACTTGTTGATGGGGTTGTGAAGAGACAGGTGCCTCACAAATGGCGGAAACATCGTCCCCTTTTGCTGTCAATCATCTAGATGACTCCCTGAATCAGAGAAGGATATCAAGAAAAAATAGTTACTTTAACCACCTGCAAATAAATGGTTAACAAATATAACAGGAACTACATCGACGTAATTCTTATCAGCAACATAAAGCTTGTTTGCCAAAGGTTTCAAAACATTTACTAGCATCAATCCATCATCACTGTTACTGGTTGGACCACTACTTAACAACAGACGTATCCTCCAGGGACCCGTCCGGCTAAGGGGCCCCTTGCTAACACTGGAAAGGAAATGTTCTCCAAAATGTGGATCATGGTGAAGCCTGGATTCCCCCAAGCGTTAAGTCTTTACAAAACCAGGCTTTTAGGACATTTCCCTGGGTACACAAGAGAAAGGCTTGCCTTGTAAGAAACCATGGTTCCAAAAACGCACACCGTCCACAACTTCATTCTTCTAATGTGAGCTAAGGATAGGGGCCATACACGGGGTTTTACCTGTTTACACCATCCCCATAGTGATGAGTTTGACGCTGAACATCAGTCCTACGATGATCGCCACCACACAGACAACTTGCATGTTCAGACTCATCTTGTTGTATCACAGTTTCGGCGGCTTGTGCAGAATTGGTCACAGTTTGGGAGTACGCTTCCAACAACGTTGACAGGTGGCTGAAAGTGTGTGTGAACAAGGAGGTTTAAAAGAGAAAACCTCCTCGGTGTGAATGAACAAGCAAGGAGACTATATTTAACCTCCTTGGAATGAACAACGCAATATTGCAGTTCTGTCAACCATATCTGTTTGTCTTTGAAACCTCACATCGTCAGCATACTATTAGAATAATAAGGATATCATGCAAAAGCACATAACTTCCTGGCATTATACATATGGCCTGGCTCTCCCCTCATTACCTCCATGGAAAGTGGCCAACAGGCTGATCTGTTTTGAGTATTTGGAGAATAAACGTTAACAAGTTCTCAAACAAACAAACAAACAAACAAACAAAACACAGCAGACATGTTTCGTCGCTCGGCTCATATTAAGAATCCAGATGTTAGTGCTAGGGCCTCGCTTATTACAGACCAGTGAGTAGCGTCGGTAACACTGAGAGTTAGCATGCCATCATGCTACTTGTTAAACGCCTGTAGAGTGGCGTATTCAACTTTTTGTCTTGTATGGGGAAAGGAAAAGAAACCAACTCAAACCTACCTTCTGTCTAGGAGAGGGCCTCAAAATGGTCTTAGGCAACCCCGCAAGTTATAGATAATAGTTTCCGAAGACATGCGCACAAAGCAAGTATAATTAAACGAAAAATAATGACAGTTGGTGACCTAATTTCATTTTATTAGCAAAATTTATCGGGTGTCGAAAAGAGGGCAAAGAGCAACAGCAGAGATTTGTGTCCCGGAAAAGAATGCTAGTGTGCACAGGTGCCAACTTTTGCCACCTTAAAAAAATTACCGCTGTTGTACAACTGAACTATACAATGTATTGCGAATGCCCTAATTCCATGCAGGCACAACCAATCCCATGTATGAGGGTCTGCATGCCCTTTTTCGTTAACCGTTATGGGCTATTTTGATTTACCGTTAATCGTTGCCAGCCCGCTCTAATTCAACGTTAAGCGTTATCAGTATATTCCTCGTGAAGCGTTATTGGTCGTTTTAATTCAACGTAAAACGTTATTTGTCATCCTGAATTCAGCGTTAAGCGTTAATGAATAATTCTTCGTTACGCCTAATTTTGCCTATCAAAGTGCAGGAAAATGCGTCATTGAAGGTTTAAAAATTATTATACAAAATTTCCCGGGGGAGAATGCCCCCGGACCCCTCTACATTGCTCGCGCCTTTGGCGCTCGACTCGCGCTTCTGCGGTCGGTCCCTTCGGCTCTAGCCAGAACCAGTTTACCCCTCAATTTCCGGAGGTTTGCGGAGAGTTACAGAATTTTTTAACGAATCCGTCATGCAACCTTGACAGGCAAATTAACAAAAATCTTGAGTAAAATATGAAAACATCAGAGGGACCGACAAACACTCTCAACACCATGATTTGCCTCTCAAAATGAGGGAAATTGCGTTTTTGAAGGCTTAAAAATCCTAAATTTCCCGGGGGGAGCATTCCCCGGACCCCCTACGACTTACGAGCGCCTTCGGCGC